ATTATAAGCGTATAAAGTATCCAAATTTTGTCCGACCTCTCCTATCGACTCGATCCACCGTGCGGCAGGACGGGTTCGCACAGCAGGTATTGGCGCTGAGCTCCGTTGAGCGATCGATTTTTACGAAACTCGGTATCAGAGAGCTCTTTTTGACGCGAACTATATTTAGCACGGTAAAGGAACTTCTCGGTATAAAAAATTGAGACTTTTATCATTCGTCCAAAATAAAGCTGAATACTCGATTTCAATCCGGAGAGTCATCAGCTACTCATAACACTAATATGTGAGAATTGGCCATGATTTTGCATTCAACGTATGCGCAGCTAAACGGCACTCAAATTCAACACATCAAGACTCCACTCCCTGCAGGTAGCGGTCGGACCAACATAATACGCCTTCAATTGCATGCGATACTGTGCAACACGCCAAAGTCGAAGTATTTGTATTCTTGAGTTGGAACCGAACTCGAGTGAATTGCGCTACCAACTAAGGCGTGTCAACCTGTCAACTGCTTTATCTCAATCTACGTCGCATGCTTTATGCTCCTTTTTGCTCGTGGCAATCTAAGCCTCAATTTACCCAGAAAGAAAGAATTAACATCATTAATGTTGCTAACGAATATCGTTATCCGATACATTGCAAACTTCGACCCCGCGAGTACCCGTATCCATTGGCGTGGCGTGAATGATCGATTATCAATGTTTTCCTATCTGAAGCTATGGTGAAAAATCTACTATGAAGGTGTTTGTTGCGAACACCCTGTACACAGATCCTTTTCCATAAGTGGCAGATCAATCGACGTATCGCAGATAGTATCTCTCCGTCTTTCAATGCCTCTATGGTTTACCTCCAATCGTAACCGGTCGTCCAAAGCATTGCTTACAAGTCTTGAAATTTATTCTGTTCAGGATTTTCAATGGAGAATGCCGAAGCTAAAAATCCAACTGGAAGAGCACTCTGCACTCAGCACACCCGAGGACTACAATCCAGTGATTCCACCGAACGATAAAAGTGCGAAGGACCCCCTGGGAGACGTCTCGAGGATTGATTGCACGAGCCCTTCAATGCAGGCCCCACCTGACGCGTGCACCAGCCCGGAGTCGAGCGTTATGCCTGGCAACCCATCTTCCCCGTCCGGAGGAAGTCACCCTCAAGATTCCAACAATAGCCGACTTGCATCAGTAGAAGAGACCCAAGACACCTCGCCCTCGTCCATCTTGGATTCGCCCTCCGCTCTTCCCCCCAAAATTGAATGCGAGGATGAAAAAGATTATGCAAGTTGGACTAACCAGCTGCACACAAGCATTGAAATTAAGAGTGAACCCACTCCCCAGACGGATGAGTCAGAACTCAGGTTGGGACGAGGAGGAGAAGAACACGATTTGGAGAATGATATTCGTGATATTGTCCCGACGACAGCGCGAGTGAAAAGAGAGGACATGAGCTCTCCACTTCCCGACCATTCTCATGAAAGTTGGATTGACCTGTCGGATACGAATATCGAAATCAAGAGTGAACCCCCTACCCAAACAAACACGTCGGAATCCGAGTTCGTCGAACATATTCGAACGCAAGCTAGTGAGAACCCATTCACTTGCGGCGAGTGTTCGAGCCCTTTTTCTTCTGAAAGCGCTTTAATTACACATATGCAAACGCACGATGGCGAGATACCATTCAATTACAGTCATTGCTCCTCCTCATCCAGTATTGAAGATAATTTAAAGAAACACATGCAAACGCATACTGGTAATGAGAAGCTACTTAGTTGCAATCATTGCTCCTCCTCTTTCAGTAGTAAAGACGATTTAAAGATGCACATGCGAACGCACACTGGTGAGAAGCCATTCAGTTGCAGTCATTGCACGGCATGCTTTTCTCACAAAAAGTCTTTAACGGCACATGTTCGCACGCATACTGGTGAGAAACCATTCAGTTGCATTCATTGCTCCTCCTCTTTCAGTTATAAAAACAATTTAAAGATGCACATGCGAACGCACACTAGTGAGAAACCATTCAGTTGCAGTCATTGCACAGCATTCTTTTCCCACAAAAAGTCTTTAACGGAACATGTTCGCACGCATACTGGTGAGAAACCATTCAGGTGCAATCATTGCTCCTCTTCTTTCAGTAGTAAAGACTATATAAAGGTGCACATGCGAACGCACACTGGTGAGAAACCATTCGGTTGCAGTCATTGCTCCTCCTCTTTCCGTATGAAAATTCATTTAAAGATGCACATGCGAACGCATACTGGTGAGAAACCATTCAGTTGCAGTCATTGCACAGCATGCTTTTCTCACAAAAAGTCTTTAACGGAACATGTTCGCACGCATACCGGTGAGACACCATTCAGTTGCAATCATTGCTCCTCCTCTTTCAGTATTAAAAACAATTTAAAGAAGCACATGCAAACGCACACTGGTGAGAAACCATTCAGTTGCAGTCATTGCACGGCATGCTTTTCTCACAAAAAGTCTTTAACGGAACATGTTCGCACGCATCCTGGTTAGAAACCATTCAGTTGCAAGCATTGCATGGCATGCTTTTCTCACAAAAAGTTTTTTAACGGCACATGTTCGCACGCATACTGGTGAGAAACCATTCAGTTGCAGTCATTGCACGGCATGCTTTTCTGACAAAAGTAATTTATCAAAGCACATACGGACGCATACTGGTGAGAAACCATTCAGTTGCAGTTATTGCTCCTCCTCTTTCCTTATGAAAATTCATTTAAATATGCACATGCGAACGCATACTGGTGAGAAACCATTCAGTTGCAGTCATTGCTCCGCTTCTTTTAGTAGGAAAGGCACTTTAAAGGTGCACATGCGAACGCACACTGGTGAGAAACCATTCAGTTGCAGTCATTGCACAGCATGCTTTTCTCACAAAAAGTCTTTAACGGAACATGTTCGCACGCATACCGTTGAGAAACCATTCGTTTACAATCATTGCTCCTCCTCTTTCAGTAGTTAAGACAATTTAAAGATGCACATGCGAACGCACACTGGTGAGAAACCATTCAGTTGCAGTCATTGCACGGCATGCTTTTCTAACAAAAGGTCTTTAACGGCACATGCTCTCACGCACACTGCTAAGAAACCATTCAGTTGTAGTCATTGCTCCTCTTCTTTCAGTAGGAAAGACACTTTAAAGATGCACATGCGAACGCACACTGGTGAGAAACCATTCAGTTGCAGTCATTGCACGGCATGCTTTTCTCACAAAAAGTCTTTAACGGAACATGTTCGAACGCATACTGGTGAGAAACCATTCAGTTGCAATAATTGCTCCTCCTCTTTCAGTATTAAAAACAATTTAAAGATGCACATGCGAACGCACACTCGTGAGAAACCATTCAGTTGCAGTCATTGCACGGCATGCTTTTCTCACAAAAGGTGTTTTACGGCACATGTTCGGAAGCATACTGGTGAAAAACCATTCAGTTGCAGTCATTGCACGGCATGCTTTGCTCAAAAGCATACTTTAACGGAACATGTTCGCACGCATACTGGTTAGAAACCATTCAGTTGCAGTCATTGCTCCTCTTCTTTCAGTAAAAAAGGCAATTTAAAGTCGCACATGCGAACGCACACTGGTGAGAAACCATTCAGTCGCAGTCATTGCATGGCATGCTTTTCTCACAAAAAGTATTTAACGGCACATGTTCGCACGCATACTGGTGAGAAACCATTCAGTTGCAGCCATTGCTCCTCTTCTTTCAGTAGAAAGACACTTTAAAGATGCACATGCGAACGCACACTGGCGAGAAACCATTCAGTTGCAGTCATTGCACGGCATGCTTTGCTCACATAAATTCTTTAACGGCACTTGTTCGAACGCATACTGATGAGAAACCATTCAGTTGCAGTCATTGGTCCTCCTTTTTCAGTAGGAACGATAATTGCATGGTACACATGCGAACGCACACTGGCGAGAAACCATTCAGTTGCAGTCATTGTTCGGCTTACTTCTCTAAAAAAATCACTTTCAAGAGACATTTGCGAATGCATTCTGGCGAAAAACCCTAGAGTTTTAGGCACTGCTCATCTCCTTTTCGGCTACAAAGGCATTTAACGGAGCTTACTGCGATCAGAGACCAGAGACCCTCCACTGATCTCTTGGCGACAGGTGGAAGCTTT